CCCAGCAGGAGCCCGGCCTCTGGGGGCATCACCAGCAAACATCCGTTTGTTTCCGTCGCCCGCGGAACAATAAATAACAATACCTGGCGGACCCCGTCCAGCTGCCGTTCAACCAGCCGAGACGAGGGCTGGCTCCCTCCCGCGGGCAGGACGGGCCGAATGTCTCGGGTGGGAAGATCGGCAGGGAGGGGCCCAGGAAACCCAGGATGGGGAACGAGTTCAAAAGCAGCCACAAGCTACCAAGGAAGCGCCAAGGTTTGCAGCAGAGAAGAACCTGCCTCTGAGCGAAAACCGTCCCTGGTCGGAACGTGGAGCGTGAGCCTTAACACTACGCCTGTATGCTGGAGCCCTGCAGGCTCCTCCATTGCTTGTGTCCCGATGAGGCGATCTCCAGGGCTTCTCCAGGCACGGAAAGGGTCTGGGTCCCTCCTGGCCTAAAAGTCGGAATCGGCATCCAGCAGCTCGGCGTTCATGAGGTTTGTCTGGGAGTGGATGGGGGCGAAGCCCGCCCTTCTGCCAGGAGTCCTCGGCCCGCAGGGGATGCTCCCGCCGGGCAGGGGGCCGGGATCCAGGCCCGCGGCGGGAGGCCGGAACGAGCCCATGTGCTGCTGGTGTGCCAGGAAGCACCTCACGCTGCCCTCGAGGGCTAGATCTTCCTGGGGCCCGGTCTCGGGGCAGAAGGGGTGGCTGATCAGATGGAAGGCGTCGTGTTTCCTGGACCTGCCGGGGTTGTCCCGGGGGAAGAGGCCTTCGTGCTGGGAGATGCTGAGCCTCAGGCCAGGGTAGGAGCCAGGGGGCGGCACCTCTTCCCCAAGCTGAGACTCCCTGGGGTTGGAGACCAGGCACTTCTGCCTTGGCAGCTTGGGCAGGCGAGGGACGGCGCTGCGGGCCGGCGGGGTGAAGTAGCCCACGTCGCAGATGGCGGGCTCCAGGGGGCAGATTTCCTTCTTCTTCCTCCTCTTCTTCTTGCGGCTGGCTCTTTTCTCCAGCTCGGGCGAGATCTCTGCATCCACCACCCACAGGTTCGCCCTCTCGTCCGGCGGCACTGCGGGCACGAGAGAGGGGAGACGGGGTGAGAGGGGCCTTCCCAGGCTGGTTCACTGTTAAAACCCCACGGGAATCTCAGCGACCGGGACGGCTGGAGACAGACCCGAGAGCGGGCACAGCGTGAACGGGTGCGATGGAGCCTTGTCCTCACCCAGCTCGGTCACTGCACCCGTCCCAGCCCAGAGATTCCCGGCCGCCCCAGCCCTGCCAATGGCCCTCAATCCCAACCCCTGCTCCTTACTGGTCCCGTCATGGGGCCCCTTACACAGCTCTGCCCATGCCCTGAATCCCAACCGGCAGCCCCCTGCAGGCCCAGCCCTGAGCTCCCCCCAACAGCCCCCCACGCTCCTCACTCCCGACCCCCAGCCCCCTGCAGGCCCAGCCCTGGGCTTATCCCCACGCTCCTCACTCCCGACCTGCAGCCCCCTGCTAGCCCAGTCCTGGGCTTCCCACCACACACAGCTCTGCTGGTGCCCCTCAGTCCTGACTTGCCCCCCTTCCCTGCGCTGCCAGGCCTGCCCCTCCCCTGAGCAGAGGTTATTTGGGACGTCAGGCGGCATTTTTAACCCTGGGTTATTACAATTCATAGCGTCTCCGCCAAATTCCAATTCACAGAATTATATCTCTCCTGGTTCCACACAGCAATTGCCGTCCCTGCCTTTCCTGTGCCGTGAGCCCACTGAACAGTTGCCACGTTCCACCCCAGAAGTGGCTGCATTTCCATGGCTGTGGCGCAATCCCTCTCCTATCCCTGTGATTTCACTCCTTGTATCCCCAGTCTCACAGCACACAGACGGGGGGTGGATATCACCATCCTTGTTTTACAGGGGGGAAATGGAGGCCCAGCGTGAAGCAGTGACTTGCCCTAGGTTAGTGTCAGGGCGAGGAGGAAAACCAGAGAGTCTCCTGATTGCCAGTCCAATGCTTCCCGTCTAGAAGTGGAGCGCAAAGCTGGCCTTGTGGCTAAGGCACTGGGATGCAGGAGTCCTGCATTTGATTTCTGGCTCTGTGGACCTTCATCTTTCTGCCTCAGTTTCCCAACTGCCGGAAGCTAGATTGCAGGGCCTATCTCTCGCTATGGGGCTGAGCAGCACCCGCCACCCGGGGGCCCTGATCTCAACAGAAACCTCTAGGTGATCCTGGGACACAAATTACCTTGCGCAGACGCGCGCAGTGTCATGACCTCATCGCCTGCCCATCTCCCTCACCACCCCGCGCTTTCCCAGGGACTCACCGGGTGTCGCCACGGGCGTGACGGAGATGTCCTGCGGCAGGATGGCCCCTCTCCTGGCCACCATCTTGGTGACGTGCTGGGCCCAGGCCGAGGATACGTCAGCTGAGGGCTCGTTGATGTCGAAAGCCAAACCAGCTGGGGTGAAAGCCAGAGAGATTCTTACAGCCCCGCTCAGCGGAGGGGGAATCCTGCAGCCTGAGCCGGGTGGGGTGGGGGGGGATCTTCACTGATTCACCCCAATCTCCTGCCCCGGCTGATCCCACAAGCAGCCCGTTCTGGAACCAATGCCCTGCGTTCCCGTGGTGACCAGGAGGCCTCCCATTCCCACACGATGTCCCCAACCCCCAGAGGCTGGCCCCTGTGCTAACGGCCCTGCAGAGCGAGGATGCGTTTTCCAGCTGCCCAGGACCTGAGAGCCCAGAGGGTCTTTGCCAGGCTTTTACATGACGAAGCGACGGCCAAACAGGCCAGAAGTCAGCCTGAGGGGCGTCTGCACAGCCCTCCCTACCCGGCCCTCCAGACAATTTTGCAACCCCGATGTGGCCCTTGGGCCAAAAAGTTTGCCCACCCTTGGTGTGCACAGACAGGCAGGATGAGCCAGTGGTTAGGGCACAATTCCCTACTCTGCCACAGACTTCCACGGGCAAGTCACTTCACCGCCTTCTGCCCGACGGGGATAAGAGCCCTGCCCTCTCAGGGACGAGCGAGGGTGATTCCACTAAAGACTCGGAGGCACGTCCGATACTACAGCAATGTGGGCTGCACAAGTTAGCTAGACAGAGACGTTTGCCCCCTGCGGTAACGTCCTTGGACTCATGGAGTTACGCCAGGTGGGAACTGGGTACCAGGAGCAGATCTGTTGGGTATGGCAGGGCCATTTCTGAGTCAGTCACTTTTCTGACGATGCTTTTAAGGCGTAAATAAATCCTGCCGCTTGTCGGCTCCCTGGCACGGGGCCGGGATACTGCTCTAGGACAGCGGTTCTCAAACGGTAGCAACCTGCCGACCCCTATTTGGTTTTTAAATTTTTCATGGACCCCCAAGGCTCAGCCCCAGACTCTTCCCCCACTCCACCCCTTCCCCCAAGGCCCCACTCCACTCCTGTCCCTCCTCTTCCCTGCTCCCCCGAGTGCACCCCCCCCCGCTCCTCCCCTCCCAGTGCCTGCTGCACGCCGCTAGACAGCTGTCCCCCGGCGTGTCGGAGGCACTGGGAGGGAGCGGGAGGAGTTGATCAGTGGGGCCCGTGGACCTCCTGGCCCCCAGTTTGAGAAACGCTCTAGAGAGATAATAGCCATTGATGGCTATTAGCCAAGTGGTCAGGGATGTAACCCCAGGGTATGGGTGTCCCTAGCCTCTGTCTGCCAGATGCTGGGAATGGACGAGAGGGGACAGATCACTCAGCGGTTGCCTGTTCTGTTCATTCCCAGCATCTGGTACCAGCCACTGTCGGCAGACACAATACAGGGCTGGATGGACCATTGGTCTGGCCCAGTCTGGCCGTTCTTATGGACTAGTTGCTGGCCCCTTTCAGGAGCACAGGGATTCAGCCAAACACTTAATAACAAGACAGCGGGATGGGCGCGGTCAGACTGGGCGTTACGGGCTGGTCTCAGCCTGCGACACTCTGGGGCAACAGAAGCGGGGGGTGCCCCCGTGCGCTCTCGGCAGCGCCCTCTAGTGAGGGTGGAGGGAGGTGCCTTGCTGAGAACCACGGCCCACGTGCCCCACAACAAACCTGGGACCACAGAAGCATCTTCCCCCCCAGATTGAGAAGCAGTGGGGGCTGCAAACCTGCCACCGAAGAGGGGGCCGAGCGCCAGGGGCGGTGGTGTGTGAAGCCCCCATGGTTCCCCCCCGCCCGGGACGTACCCACAGGCCCGTCGTGCGAGACGGTGCGCATGCTGAAGGACACCTCCTGCTCCGGGTTGCGCAGCAGCTCCTTCCGCTTGGAGAAGGCCTTGGCGATCATCTTGCTTTTCTTGATCCTCTTGGGCTCGTCGTCGCTCTGGCCGGTCAGCCTGTGGGGGAGGAAGGGCTGGCTCAGCCGGGGAGGGCACGGCACTGATCCTCTCCAGCGGGGGGCTGGAGATCCCCCAGGGTGGGGGTGAGGAGTGCTCCTGGGATCTCCCCCCCCCTCTCCCGCTGAGCCAGGAAGCCAGTTTATCTGTTACCAAGGGAACCCCCTCCATCATCCTAACCCCAAGGACTGGGTGTCCCGCTCCTTCCCCAGATTCCCCCTCCCCGCACCACGGCGGCGGTGGGGGGAGAGACATGGACGGTAACACGCTGGCACCAGGGCCATTCCCACCACTCTGACTGGGTGACGGGGCAGGAAAATGTGCCTAAAAGACATTTCCAGGGCGGTGGCCAGGGGCGTTGGTGTCATCGAGACTCTGGCCCCATCCCCGGGGTCACCCCTCCAGGCGCCCCCATCCCTCGGCACAAAACGTCTTTGGGGGACTGGCGGCAGCCCCCCTGCAGCTGTGGGCCAAACTCACACAGGCGCCCCCCCGCCCTGCACCCCCTAACTCAGGCATCTGTGCCTTCTTCGCAGCGCCACGCGGCTCCCCACGCAGCCAGGCCGAAAGGGGGCACTGCAGAATGGGGTCTCAGCCCCCCTGCTCTGGATGGGGGAATACCTTCCCCTCCCCCACCTCTTTAATGGGCATCTGGGGCTGGAGGGGCAGCCTGACATCGACACCCCCTATGGGGCCACATCCAGGTATGACGCGGGCAGTGCTGGCTGCACAAGCTCTCCCCTCCCCCCGCAGACGTGTCTCACTCCCGAACCAGAGCGGCCGTAGCTGGGGGGGGCCCAGGGAATTCAGCCTCCAGGCTAGGAGCTGATGAGCCATCCCTGAACTAGCCCAGGCGAGCCACATCCGGTGATGGGCCCATCCTGTGCTAGGCTCCAGCCAATCCACGAGCAGGTCTGGTGACCCTTGCTCCGACCCTGCTCCGACCCCGGCCTCGTTCCCAGCCCTGCTCCGACCCCGGCCTCGTTCCCAGCCCTGCTCCGACCCCGGCCTCGTTCCCAGCCCTGCTCCGACTCCGGCCTCGTTCCCAGCCCTGCTCCGACTCCGGCCTCGTTCCCAGCCCTGCTCCAGCCCTGCTCTGACTCCAGCCTCGTTCCCAGCCCTGCTCCAGCCCTGCTCTGACTCCAGCCTCATTCCCAGCCCTGCTCTTGCTTTGTTCCAAACCTGCTCTTGACTCCAACCTTTGTCTCCAGTGCCTGGCCTGGTTGCCACCGCACCGACCACTAGGCCCAGCTGCCACTGCTCCTGTCACTAGGCCTGACCCTCCCCAGCTCAGCTTCTGACACACACCACTCTGTGCCTCTCTGCTGGGAATACACCCCATCCCCTAGGAACCGGCTGAGACCCGCCGAATTCATCACACATGGGCCACCAGACATCTGCCGGATAAGGGCAGCTACGGACCTGGGCTGGACTGTGTCTTGGGGGCCTTGGGCACGCGGTGCCCCCAGCTGAACCTCAGCTCCTGGGGCTCAGGGGAGACAGGGTCCTGAGACCCCAGTAGCTCTGGGCTGGGGGAGGGCTGCTCCCACCTGCACCACGTGCGCTTCCAGATGAGGAGGGTGGCTTTGGTCCACACCCAGGTGCTCATGGAAATGCCGGTGCCGAACATGGCAAAGAGGTTGATCTTCTCCACCAGCAGGCTGGGCCGGTTCTTGATCTCGCAGTTTGGGATCGGCTTGTTGGTCTGGATGGCGATCGTCACGTTCGCTTCGCACCTGCGGCAGAAACACGGCGCATGGCGGCGGCACGAAGAGCAGGGGCTAAAACCCACGCTGACCGGGGCAATGGGGAGCCGGGGCACCCGGAAAGCCACCTCCCATTCCCCATCCCCAGTGACGACATGCTCTCCCCTTAGCGCAGCCAGATAAAGGGCAATGACACCCCTCCCCTGCAAGGAGCGGCTGCTGATTAGATTCAGGGGCTGAGGTCCCTTCCCACAGCTCGACGGCCCACAACAGCTGCCCAGACACCGCGGTGATGGGGGCCACGCGAGGGCAGGGAGCGGCTGGCAGCTGCAGGAGCGCCACGTGACGGGCTCTCTGCAGGTTTCAGCAGAAGCCCCACGGTCTGAGCTTCGGGACCACCCTGGCAGGGAACGACCCGGCACCGAACAGAGCGATGGGCTAACGGGCCCATCTCGGGTTCCTCCCGACGCGTCTCCCCAGGATCAGGCACGTCAGGGTGCCCCCGGTCCCCGTGCTGCTAGGCCCTGCTCCCCGCTGAAATGGGAACAGGCCTGGGGCCACGGACGGCCCGCGCAGTCACGCCCCGACGTGCCCGTGAGGGGCGACACGGGGGCCAGCCGTGGCATCCCCCGGGGACTGCCGTTCCCACGGCATCAGGGCGGGAATTCACACGAGCAGCCAGGCTTCTGCGTGGGGAATGGGAAGAGCGTTGTCACGGGACCTGGCGGCGGAAGGGAGGTCATGGAAAGCGCCACCTTCTTCCAACACGGGGCAAGGAGCGATACTGGACCCCCCCGAGACTCTTCCCGCCCCTCTGGGTGGGGGCTGGGGGCTGTTAAAGGGACGGGTGGGGCGGGGGGGGGGCGACGAGCCTGTCCCCACTTACAGGACGTACTCCCGGAAGCTCCGCTCCCACTCAGCCTGGTTGAAGAAGTCGTAGAAGTGGCAGGCGAAGGTGATGAGGACGAAGCCGAAGGCCAGGAAGCCGAAGATGCCTGTAAGGAAGCACCGAAGGGCCCGGGGGTTATTCCCACAGCCCCAGGGCCAGGACGCAGCACGTTGCCGGCCAGAGGGAAGCCCTGATGGAAACACGATCCAGGAAAAGCGAAGGGAGGGGTCAAACCCGGGCTACTTCCGCGCCTCTGATGGGGTCCTCGTCTATATCAGCTGCACCCGCTCCTAGCATGCCTTTCGGCCCGAAGAGCTTTACATACCGGCTACACAGAGGTCACGTTACCCGGCAGTGAAATGCAGCCACCTCTGGGGAGGACCGTGGCAGCTGTGTAACAGCAGCGCTACACCAGTTTCGAACCAGAAAAGGAATAATGCAGCCAACCTTCCCAGGGAATCCGAGGGCGGCAAAACGCACTCCCTCCGCTGGAGCTGGGTGAACTTGGCAGAGAGGCTCCGGGAGTGGCCAGGACCTGGTTCTCGTTCCTTACCTGAACAGCGGCGCCTCCAGCAGCCCCAGGCCAGGCTCGTGTTCACTATGGACTCAGAGGCGAGAGCGCCCTCAGTGAGTCACTCCTACCCCTCCCTGCCAGGGCCACCGCTTCGTGCAGGCCCTGGGTTTCCTCGGGAGGCTCCTACCCAGGCTGGCCCTTTGGGACGGGCGAGCTCACGGCCCGGGGCAGAACGCCGGCAGCGAGGCACGAGCCGAGCCCAGACCCGCCTAGCTTACCCAGCCGTAACATGGTCTCGTTGATTTTGCTGGCAGCTTTCTCGCTCAGCAGGCCGGGGTGGTTGCTTTTGATGGAGAACAGAGTCATGACACCTAGAACAGACAGACAGCAAGACAGGCGCGTCAGCCGGGACCAGGGCTGCCGGACCAAGCAGCTAGGAGCACCCCGGAGCACCCACGGACTCGGCGGCTATGGTACGTAGAGCATCACATAAGAATGGTCATATTGGGTCAGACCAAAGGTCCATCTAGCCCAGTATCCTGTCTGCCGACAGTGGCCAGTGCCAGGTGACCCAGAGGGAATGGACGGAACAGGGAATCCTCAAGTGATCCATCCCGTCACCCATTCCCAGCTTCTGCCAAACAGAGGCTAGGGACACCATCCCTGCCCATCCTGGCTAACAGCCATTAATGGACCCATCTTCCATGCACTTATCTAGTTCCTTTTTGAACCCTGTTATAGTCTGGGCCTTCATAACATCCTCTGGCAAGGAGTTCCACAGGTTGACTGTGCACTGTGTGAAAAAATACTTTCTTTTGTTTGTTTTAAACCTGCTGCCTATTAATTTCATTTGGTGACCCCCTAGTATGTGTGTTATGGGAAGGAGTAAACAACACTTCCTTATTTACTTTCTCCACACCAGTCATAATTTTATGAACCTCAATCATATCTCCCCTTAGTCATCTCTTTTCCAAGCTGAAAAGTCCCAGTCTTATTAATCTCTCCTCATACGGAAGCCGTTCCATACCCCTAATCATTTTTGTTGCCCTTTTCTAAACCTTTTCCAATTCCAATATATCTGTTTTGAGATGGGGCGATCACATCTGCACGCAGTATTCAGGGTGTGGGCATACCATGGATTTATATAGAGGCAATATGATATTTTCTATCTTATTATCTATCCCTTTCTTAATGATTCCCAATATTCTGTTTGCTGTTTTGACAACCGCTGCACATTGAGTGGATGTTTGCAGAGAACTCTCCACAATGACTCCAAATTCTCTTCCTTGAGTGGTAACAGCAAATTTAGACCCCATCATTTTATATGTATAGTCGGGATTATGTTTTCCAACGCGCATTACTTTGCATTTATCAACAGTGAATTTCATCTGCCATTTTGTTGCCAAGTCACCCAGTTTTGAGAGATCCTCTTGTAGCTCTTCGCAGGCTACCTGGGACTTAACTATCTTGAGTAGTTTTGTATCATCTGCAAATTTTACCACCTCACCGTTTACCCCTTTTTCCAGATCATTTATGAATATGTTGAACAGCACTGGGCCCAGAACAGACCCCTGTGGGACACCATTTACTTCTCTCCATTCTTAAAACTGACCATTTATTCCTACCCTTTGTTTCCTATCTTTTAACCAGTTACTGATCCATGAGAGAACCTCACCTCTTATCCCAGGACAAGCTCACTTTGCAGAAGAGGCTTTGGTGAGGGATCTTGTCACAGCTAAATATAAGCTTGGCTGGTTTCACCCACATCTGATGCCCCAAGAACAATTATGTGAGTGAAATCAGACAATCACAATGCTCTCAAATGAATTCTCCCAGGAAAAGGATAAAGACAAAAACGCCCTCTCACATGTGGGCAAACACTTTTCGCAGAGCGATTACTCCATAGCTGACCTCTCAGTCCTCATCCACAAAGGAAACCTGCACAACACCTTCAAAAGACGAGGCCAGGGGCTTAAATTCATAACTCTGTTAGACACTAAAACTCATGGACCGACCAGCGACACTGGATATATGGCTTATTACAACAATCTGTAACCCACTAACAATCCCCCACCCCGCTGCCTTCCTTCCTTCCCATGACTGGAGGGGTATTAATGGGCCACTTCCCCTTGAATGGTCCCCTAGAATACGTGCTAACTACTTATGCTAGACTATCTGTTGCTCTTGTATTTAGCTGTGATGCTCTCAGTACCGTTCCCAGACCAAAGAGCTCTGGGTAGCTCAAAAGCTTGGCTCTCTCCCCCCAAGAGAAGCTGGTCTCATAACAGCTCTCGCTTCACCCAGCTAAGGGATTGACTCCTTTGGCTCGGGGGACAGCGTTTCCTGCTTTCGCACGGAAGCTTCCCAGACCAAACCCCGCTGGGTTGTTAGCACCCACCTCGGATCAGGAAATAGCCTCCCACGATCAGCACCAGGCCGATGGGAGCCAGGACGAAGCCAGCGCGGTACCGATAGTTCTTGTAGCCCACAAAGCAGATGCCGCTGACGGAGTCTCCGTCCACCTGGTCGGGGAAGAGTCATCAGTGTCCGTCCTTCCCCAGCCTGGAGATTGGGCTGGGAATCTCATGAGAACGGGCTGGGAAACCAGGGGCTGTGCTGTCCCTTTACAGGGTGAACCTGGTGCCCATCCGGTGACGTGGCAGCCTATGGCTCTGCCATTTGGTAGACCCAGGTTTTGTAGATGACCCTGGCGTCGGGTGCTTACTGGGGAGGGAGGGGGAGGGAGATGGAGGCTGGTGCCCCCTGTGGGTCATTTTGAGCAGTCTGGGTATGGCCTTTGGGAGCATGGGCTTGGAGATAAGCAGGGCCCCATCAGTGCAGGGAAGGCACGAAGTGGGGAGGGAGCCAGGAACATGGCGGGGACTGGGAAATGCTGAACCTCGCCTGGAGCACACAGCTGATGTTCAGATACAGGGAGCCTACAGGAGGGCCACAGGCAGCGGGGTCAACAAATGGAGTAGGACTGAGATGAGACGCTGAGCTGGGATGGTTCCTGCTCACCAATAAATGGATCACCCCCAGGGCAGAGTGGCGGGACCTTCCCCCTTCCACTGAGACGGGAGCATCCCTTAGGGTGCCCAGGGTGGGGTGGGCACAGAGGTCTCCACACTGGGTGCCCCGTACCTGGGCGACGGCCAGGATGGCGACAGTGAGGACGAAGGGGATGGACCAGGTGACCAGGTGGAAGTAGGAGGTCTTGCCCAGCAGCGGCTGGTAGGTGGTGCCCAGCGCTTTGAAAGAGGTGTGCCAGGCGTAGGTCAGCATGACGAACCAGATCACGCCCGACATCAGCGAGTAGTAGACGATGACGAAGATGATCACGCAGGAGAGCGTCTCGTTGGAGCTGGGGAGGCGGGACGGGATAGGACTAGGGGAGTGGGAGGGAGTCTCTCCCCCATCCCCCACTCCACTCTGGCTTGTTCCTGACAGACAGATACGTGCTGGCCTGGCTCAGCACCCAGAGTGTGCCCACGCCCCCTGACAGCACCTTGCAGTCTGCAGGGCCCCATCACCTCAAGGGGCTGTGAGCCAAACCCTGATCCTGTGGAAGTCAGCGGGAGCTTTGCCCAGATCCCCAGCCCTGTCCCCAATCCCACCGGTTCCCTGACCACATCTGCTGGGCCTGGTGCCTACGGCACTGCCCCTCCCATAGGGAGTGAAGGCAAACAGACGAGGGTGGGGGTGGGCCCGCCCCCGCCCTGCGGGGCGGAGGTACCTACGTCGGCTCTCCCAGCCGCATGGTGCCGTCGGCTCGGCACACGATCTCGCCGCGGGCCCCGTCCATGAACTGCGCCAGCCAGCCGATGCTGCCCACGAAGAAGCAGGCGTTGACGTAGAAGAGAATGACGGCCGGGTAACGGTTCGAGTTCTTCCAGTCGGCAACAAACGTGGCCTGGGGCGGGGAGGGGGATGGGAGAGAAGAGCCGGCAGATGGGCCGGGGTCTATGGCTGTGCCTCACCCATTCCTGCCCTTGCTCCAGAGCCCTACTGGTCAGCCCCACAGCTGAGAGCAGCAAAGGCTAACGCTAGCCACCAGGGGGGTGCTCTGAGCCAATGCAGATTTCACTCTGCCCCCCTCCCCCGGGATCAGCTCCCAGCCGGCAGCCCCCCCGCCCGCTCCGCTCACCAGGGTGAAGAAGGTGCAGAAGATGGTGACGGAGCTGAAGGCAGCGATGTACAGGTGCATGTTGCGGTGCTCGTGCTCCGTGAAAAGGGGGTTCTGGCACTGGATGCCACAGCCCTCCACGTCCTCGTACCAGCTCTTGGGGTTGTCCGTCTGCACCAGCGGGGCCTCGCAGTGGCCCGAGCTGTTGAACTTGAGGTTCTGCACCTCGTTCTGGGGGCGGGCGGGGTCAGAGAAGAAAGGAAAGGGATCGTTAGGGGTCAGAGGGACGCTGTCAGGAGAGGACGACCCACGCTGAGGGCTGGGAACCAAGACTCCTGAGTTCCTAGTCCAAGATCTGCCACTGACAGACTCCTGGCCTTTGGGGGACCCGCTTACCAGGCCTGCCTCAGATAGGGATTACTCCACACCAGGGAGGTGGTGACGCTGAATCCGTTGGGTGAAACCCCGGCCTCGCTCAAATCAACGGCGGTTTTGCCATCGATTTCCATGGGATCGGGATTCCAGCCCAGAGTCGGTAAAGTCCCTTCCAGCCAAAGTCCTTCTTGTGGGATCCTGCACTAAGCCAGCGTGGCGTGGAAGCATTTCAGTTCTCCCAGGGCAAGGCCGGGGGGAGGAATAGCTCAGTGGTTTGAGCATTGGCCTGCTAAACCCAGGGTTGTGAGTTCAATCCTTGAGGGGACCATATAGGGATCTGGGGCAAAAATCTGTCTGGGGATTGGTCCTGCTTTGAGCAGGGGGTTGGACTAGATACCTCCTGAGGTCCCTTCTAACCCTGATATTCTATGATAACTCTGCGAGGGGAAGGGACGTGGGAGGCGGGCTGGAGAGGGGTCAACACAGAGGCTCTGCCGGGAAGGGGCCTGGGGCAGAGCGCCTTGGCAATCTCCCGCCTCCCCCAGTCAGGGTTAGAAGAAAGCCAGTCTCGCTGCGGTTCTGTGCCAGTCACAGGACGCTTGAAAACTGACCGTCGATAACCCTCATCCTGGTCTCGCTGAAGCTGTAAAAATCCCCGCCCCCAAATACTTCGATTGCCACCAATTTTTCTAAAACTCTTCCCCTCGCCAAACACATGGTTTGGGCCTAACCTACATGACTGTGCCCCTAAAGGGAGATTTCCTGTCATCAGAACAGCGGCAGGAATACCTGGTCCCTCACATTTATAAACCACCTCCCAGGGAACCTCCAAACTACTTTACAAGGATCTCCCAAGCACTGCTGAAATGCAGCCTCCTCAGGTGCGGAACAGAGTTGCTCAACAGTGTACAACAGCCCTTTAGGGAGGGAAATCCGGAATAACTTCACTGAGATTCCCGGGGGGATTTCGCTGTAGACAGGAGATAACTGTCCGCTTTGTTTTGATGTCCCGGGCACAAAACAGCACTTCTAGCCGCACAGCGCCCCCTAGTACCATGCAAGGGCATTAATTCAGTACCAACTGAAGGAAGAACAGCTAACACCACTTCCTGAAACACCAGGGTTTGGCTTAAGGGCTTCCCACCCAGGCGAAAGGGGCTGGACTGACAGCCCTGGAACAAGAGGCCTCTGGTTAGCTCCAGAACAGGCAGAGCAATGTGTTTCAACCGTGCACAGGGCAGGTCAGTTGCTATGGTCCAGCCCATCCACGGGACCAGAGGAACCGCTGGATGGAATCAGATCGGGGGGCCAGAACTGCGGCTGGCCCTGCTGTCTATATAAAACATCTGATCCTTTGCTATTTCTGTGGATGGAGAACCTCCACGGCTACAGGGAGCCAACTAGTGCCACTTGCGGTAACTCCTGTGATGTGACCGTCTCCTAGGAATTGAATTGAGACCCACCAACTTATGGCCATCAAATGACTCATCGCCACAGGTAACGCTGCCCTCCCCACCCAGGATCGGCACCCCTCCCCTGGCTGCACAGAGGGCGCTGGAAGAGGCCCGGGGACAGGCCGGCCGTGCCGTCGGCTGGACACCGGGCACAGCGGTGAGGTGTAAGACCCCTGCTTACCGGGCAGCCCTCGGGAAAGCGGTCTGTGGTGCACTTGAGGAAGTCGGGCCAGCCCCGCTCCCGCTCCACGATGGTGCACGGGCCCCGCGTGGCCTGGCACAAGGTCTGGCTGGGCAGCTCCACCTGGCCGTCCTCGCACTTGGGCATGTACACGGCGCAGAGCAAGGGCTGGATCGCGTCCCAGCAGCGAGGGGCGTTCCGCAAACCTGGCCGAAGGAAAAAACAGCAGTGGGAACTCGGCACGGGCTTAACACAGTGGCTCGGCACCGCCCTCTAGTGGCTGGGCCCAGTGACTACAACAGCCAACCACCTACAGCTCAAGGAGTTACTCTGTTAGCTCAACCCAGGACAGGCCTGTGCTTCTGGTGCTGAAACTCCCGGTTCAATCCCCGATGGCCACCACAGTATCTGTACACATGCCACTACTGGGACATGTAACGGAACCAGGTAGGTCTGACATGCTCCATCCAGCGCCGGATAATGGCGCGCACACAGCCAGTTTGTTACCCCCTAGCTCCCAGTCATAAAAACTGGGGTTTATTTTTGGACCTGCACTGTTAAATGGTGCAGGGAAAAGATCAAACTCCCAGCAAGCAAGTCCACACAACACTCCTCCACCCTTCCTCTATCTCCCTTAATCAATCAATTAATAGCTGTCAGGATGGGCTAAGGTGACCAGATGTCCCAATTTTATAGGGACAGTCCCGATTTTTGGGTCTTTTTCTTATATAGGCTCCGATTACACCCCACCCCCTGTCCCGATTTTTCACACTTGCTGTCTGGTCACCCTAACCGTGGCACGAATAGACCCTCAGTTCTCAGATATTCCAGCTGTTTCCTGTGTCACAAATCCACCGTATGGCAAGTCCTCGGATTATTATTTTTAGCATCACGCCAATACGTTGCCATTTATAGCACTCTGTGAATGATCTCCACATGCGTCACAAGGCACCGACATAACGCACCAGTGGAAGGCAGCCACCTCTGGGGTGGAGGAGGACAGCAGTAAGGAGAAGGGTATTTGGGGCTAAGATCCCAGGGGTAACCCTCCCTTCTTAGGACAAGCGCCAGAGGATGGTCAGCCTCCCCGCAGCACAGACAGGGCTTTTGAACCGACACCTCCTGTTAAAGAGACAGGCCCAGCGGGTTACATAGAGCAGGGATGGCCAAACTGACTGTCCGAGCCGCGTACGACAATTGTCAGAAGTTTGAGAGTCGGGGTGCCCTGCCGGGGTTTGGGGCTTCAGCCCTGCTCCAGCTTCAGCCCTGAGCCCCAGCAGTCATGCCCTGTGGGGTTCAAGCCCCTAGACCCCACTCCCCGCTGGGCAGAAGCTGGAGATGAGGTGACACATGGGGGTGGGCATGTGGGGGTCACGTGCCCCTCCAGATTTTTGCCAGGGTCACATGGTGCCACCAGGCCCCCTCCCTGCGGCCGTGGGGAGAGGCAGCGGCAAACAGCTGGGAGCCGCAGGGAGAGCCGCTGCTTTTTGCTGCTACCTC